ATATATATATATATATATATATATATATATATATATATATATATATATATATATATATATATATATATATATATATATATATCCTACAATAGCATTAAAAACCAAACCTGACCAAGACATTGAACTATTTGGCATGTTTTTGCCACAGAGCTAATTTTTACCTTATACAGAAAGCCATAATGTCTCTAGCCCATACATACGCTTGCAGAAACATGGAAACATACAAGTCCACAGAAACATGTTGTCAGCAGTGCTCTGATGAATCTTTCATTGAAGTAGTTTTTGCAGTTCAAAAGCCACATCACAATTTTCCCTAGCAAAGCAGCTATAGTGCTGTTTGGGAAGCAATTAAAGTTAAATTCTCAGTGGGGAATGTTCTATTGGTAATATTATTTTATATATTATGTTTAGATTATTTTCTTCAAAAATAATCTCCCTGCAACGTTCTGGGAACATTATTTTGTAGCTAAAAATAATAACCTAAAAATAACTTTCAGGCAATGTACTTTATAACTTAATTTTTCATTCATTTTCTTTCAGCTTAGTCCATTTATTCATCAGGGGTCACCAAAGCGGAATGAACTGCCAACTTATCCAGTATGTGTTTTACACAACGGATGCTCTTCTAGCTGCAATCCAGTACTGGGAAACATCTATACACTCTCGCATTTACACTCGAACTCCGTTCGCCTTGCTGGAGAGGAACAGTCTGCGCAAAAGAAGCGCAGACTGGTTTTATTGAATACGGCTCTCATCTGATTGGCTGAAAGGTACGAGTAGCCCTGACTCTGGCAGGAAAGTCTCAAAAATACACACACACGTATCCAGGGGGAGTCGTACGTGAAAGAGGATTTGCACATTCTCATTCAGGATAAACTCGCAAGTTTTAAACATTCAAAACTTTGTGTACACTCTTATACATTTGCAAACGGTGTTTTGCATTTGTGAAACGTATTTTATGAAAATGTATTTTTATTTTGTGCACGTGAAATTTTTTTGTGAATATAAATAAATATTTTACGCACGTGAATTTGGCTACGCATGTGTACATTGTGTCTTTTGCGTGAATTTCTTTTGAGACTTATCTGATTCCATAAGTTACAAGTCTCCACATAATTCAGCAGGACTAAACTAACTCATCCTGACAGAGTTTTCCTTGGCCACTGCTACCAATGCTGCCATTAGCAGATTAAAAAAGGAGCTTGAGTTTGTTTTGAAGTGGTTTTCTCATTAATGCCAGAGAGAAGCAGTAGGAAGTGCTTACACGGATCCTCTGCTGACCCATCTGCTGCCTTCAGCCAACAGCCAAATGCATCACAACTCTACAACACTCATCATGACACTGTGTGCGTGCGTGCGTGTGTGTGTGCGTATGAGTGTGTGTTTGTGTGTGTGTGTGTGTGTGTGTGTGTGTGTGTGTGTGTGTGAATCATCACCTCTCAAGCTCTGCTCAGCTCTCTCTTCCAGCTATAAGAACAGCCCTGTCCTAATGTGCCCTTCTTAAAGTCACTGCATGTGTTTTAAAGAGAGCTTCACAATATAAACACACGCACACACAAAGAGTACACAAATAGATAAGGTCATCTTGACCTCAAAAAGATTTTTGTATGTGATTTTTACAAAAATGATCACAAAAAGCAGCAGTTATTTGGGCCCAAGCACACTTGGAGAATCACGTTGTTTGATCTTTGGTTTATTAATTATTTAAAAACACTTAATTAATAATTTTGCTCCATGTTCAAACTACTTATTAAACAAATTTAATTGAGCTGTTTTATGTTCAATCCACAAATTTGTAAGTTGGCCTAATCGATTTGTGTTGAGACAACATGAACGAAATGTGTGGAACCCAGCATTTTTAAGTGAATACTGATTTTAAATTTGAGGGTCATTTTTGTAGCTCAATCCAAAAGACCAAAACAAATTGGCTTCGAAATATTTTTATTTTTTTTATTTTACTAGCTTTAGCTGGTTGTTAACACAACATTTAAGGTACTCCGTTAGCACATTGTAAGCGTGTATATACTGTGCATCCAGAAAGTATTCAAAGTATTTCACTTTTCCCACATTTTTTTTTTAATGTCACAGCCTTATTCCAAAATGGATTAAATTAATTTATTTCCTCAACATTCTACACACAATACCCCATAATGACAATGTGAAAACAGATTTTTGAAATGATTGCAAATTTATTAAAAATAAAAACCTGAAAAATCACATGTACAGAAGTATTCACAGCCTTTGCTCAATACTTTATTGATGCACCTTTGGCAGCAATTACAGCCTCAAGTCTTTTTGAATATGACGCCACAAGCTTGACACACCTGCCTTCGGGAATTTTTGCCCATTCCTCTTTGCAGTACCTTTCAAGATCTATCAGGTTGTATAGGATTCGACGGTGTACAGCCATTTTCAGTTCAATAGGATTTAGGTCTGGGCTCTGGCTGGGCCACTCAAGGACATTCACCGAGTTGTTTTGAAGCCACTTCATTAATATTTTGGCGGTGTGCTTCGGGTCATTGTCCTGCTGGAAGATGAGCCGTCGCCCCAGTCTGAGGTCAAGAGCACTCTGAAGCAGATTTTCATTCAGGACGTCTTTGTACATTGCTGCATATATATTTCCCGTTATCCTGACTAGTCTTCCAGTTCCTGCTGCTGAAAAACATCCCCACAGCATGATGCTGCCACCACCACCATGATTCGGATAGCAAATCCACTAGAGGATGCTGTCTAGATTTAAATCTGAAATACGTTACTTAGGATATGTTTTGCTGTGCATTTTAGATGCACGTCTGTCTTGTACAGTTCCACGGGAAGGCTGCACTAAAATATGAACACATTTCTTTACTTATTGATAATATGTACCAGTAAATATCATTAGTGTGAAAAGAAACTGGGCATAGAAACTGCAGTCAAATGCATTGTGCAATAGGGCTCCAATAGTAAAGATTAGTTTATTGAACTAAACTCACAATAAAAAACTATTTGTACAAAAGCTTATATTAATCTTAGGTGATGTTAATTTATTAGTCAATACCTAACATGTTAAAACAATTGTAGTAATCTGATTACATGTCATAATCAGTTTATTAAATGGAGTAAAAAAAACAAATAAAATTGATCTGGATTTTTTAACTAATATTAACATCAATATTGAATTTGATTGAAACATTTGTTAACTTTGAACATCGAGCTAAATCTATTAAGTATTTTTATTGTTATACTTGTTATAGTAACAGTTTTTGCAGGTTTTGCCAATCAGAAGCCTCAAAAAAGCCTTATTATAGATAATAATATTTATCGATAATTGTCCAATCAGTGTACATGTTGCAAGAATTATTAGAATGTTTATGTCGTCGGCCATTGCACAGATTCATGTCTTGTAAACAGAGGAGATTGTGGCACACAATCTGATGTCACACAAAGGAAATAGTTTAACGGACAAGCTAAAAACTCAATTT